AAATTGGAACGATGCAATTTTTTAACCAATAAATCGAAGTTGTTATAGTAGATATTATTGCACTAAGATCTATTAAAACAATAAAATAAAATAAGTACGTTTATATCCGAATAAACATTTATGATAATAAAAACGGTTTACCTAGATAATTCCAAATACTTGAAAAATAATGTAGAGGTGAATAAATAAATTGACGAATTTCAAAAATTAGATGCCAAAATCCAAGAATAATAGCAGTGATCAAGAGAAATTTTTGAAAATTCCAAGAAATTTCATTATATAAAGTGGAAACAGTGATAAAACTACTAAGAAAAACTGTATAGATTAACCAAATTGCAAAATAATATTTCCTTCCATAAGTATTCCATTTGAAATTAAGTAGTGCTACTCCATTTAAATATCTATAAAATTCTTCATTTATCATTTCAAGCTTATTTGAATATGTAAAACAGTTGGAACAAGGCATTATTAATTCTTTCCAAAAACTATATTTTTTTGGATATGAAACAAAGTTTGGTAGAGGAATAGCAAGAACTGTTGAACTATTACCTACATAATAAAACTCCTTAACTGGTTTAACTAGATTTTCATAAAGCTTTACAATAAAATTTTGTAAAAGAGGATAATTTTTTTGAAAATTTTGAAAACGATTTTGAAAACTATTCAAAAGATCCAAAAGATTAGAGCTAAATGTATCAAAATATGATGTTTTAGATAAATGACAATGTTTTCCATAACTAGAAAGGTGAGAAGAAATTGAATCCGAACTTATTTCGTTATTAGGAACTATAAATGCTATTATAGCTAAAACGCTTGCAATAAATTCAGGATCATTTTCTGATAATTCAATAAATTTTTCAAAAATAATACTTAGCAAAGGAATTTTAAAAATTAGATGATTATTATTCCGATCCCACATGCACTTTTCAATACAGCTGTCGCCTAAAGATCTAATCCATTTATTTTCCTTTAATAAAATAAATGTTTCCATAAGATTTTTTCCATAGCAAGTTAAATAAAATTCTTCAAAAATATTTTCTTCTAAAAACTGTTCGAAAAGCAGTGTTTCGCCAAATACAACATCTAAATTATAATAGATTGTTATATAGCTTGAAGCAGGGAGAATTCTTTCTGAAGTCCAATTCTTAAAGCGATCCTCAAATTTTAAGTCACTGAAGTCGAATTCCTTTAAACTACCATTATGGTCAAATACGAAATTCTCTAAACGGCCATTACAATCATTCCAATAATAATGCATCTTAATTTCTTTCGTCTTAGTGCCTTTAGAAGATCTAAAAGTCCAGATAATTATACCAATACGTGTAATCATAACAAAATCATCATTCCCAAGAACTTCACAATGTAGTATATAAAGAGATGGAGGAATTTCTAGCTTTTTTTTATTGTCTAGCTGCCAATCTTTATTGCCATTCGTATAAAGTGGAAAAATTTCTAGCTGCTTTTTTTTATTGTCTGGATGCCAATCTTTCTTGCGATGGTTAAATTCAAGTACTGTAATCATGACTTTATTTTTATAACTTATTTATTAATACAATTATTTTATTGTACTATATTAGGAGATTCAACTCCTATTTCTTCATGGATTTCGAGTGATAATATTACAATAATGCTTTTAATGATTGCAGTTTCATTTTTTACACTAATTTATTTGATGAATTTATTTATTGGAATTCTTAGTAATTTAATTAATGATGATGAACATAAACATATTGCTTATTTGAATTTATTAAAAGAGGTATTTTTTAATTGCTGTTTTAAATTAAGATATTTTAAATTTATTAATATTCCGTTCAGATTATTGTAGAAATTGAGTTATTTTATTTATTACCTCATCAAAGAAGAAAAGAAAATTGGTTTCCATTAATTGTGTAAGTTATTTTAATTAATAAAAACAAAAAAACTGATAATATTTACTGTATTTATATATTTATATAAAGTTTCTATGAATGCCAAACACTTATACTTCGAGAGCATATATTGTATATTAAAAAAAATTGGAAAGGATATAAAAAGCCATATTTTTCAGAAAATCTTAATAGAATTCTTCGACTCCCCGAAGAACCACCAAATCTTGAACAAATTCAGTATGACATAATAAATCTAAACAAATCACAGGATAATGTTATTAGAGGTCAAACAACAATGACAAAGTCAATAGATGAAATTAAGAACCAGCTAAAAGAATTACAATCTAAAACAATCACAGAATAAAGTTAAAGATCCATCAAAATCAATAGATGAAATTAACAGTTTAGCTATTGCTGTATTAATAATTATTTTATTTTATTACATGAAATTAAAACATATGGAGTGTTCCCTTTTAAAAGGGCCCATTTTTACATTTTTCGAAAAATGAGTTTTTATTAGATTCATATAAAT